CGGCAATCTGAAATCGGGTCGCCGGGTTTATAGCGCCGCGCGCTAACCATTGCACCACGCTCCCACATACATATACCCATATACGTACACTAGCCATAACGTGCTTAACATAAAGCGCAAACAGAAAAGACACAACTACGGGGGCTTCTTCTTCGTGTACAGTGGCGCATTATCTCAGAATTGTGCTCAAGCCCGGGCAGGTCGTTATAATTTGGACGCGGAACTCAAAGCATGACGAACGTCAAACATCCTCTGGGCGTTGCCCGACAACGGGTAAAGCCACTAATAGCGGCAGTGGTGGCGGCAGCAACAACAGCAGCCAGCCAGCGTGGCTGGAAGGCGCAGCAGCGCTGCCTTGTGCTGCTGAGACTTGCCTTCGAGCAAGGGGGGTGCGGGGGGGGGTAATGGGGTTGGGAAGATGATTAATTAAAAAACCCAGATCGAGTGACGGCATGGGCACTGACCGGCCGCGCGAGTCTCGATTTTTTTCCACGTGTGGGGCTAGGACATGCGGCGTTTTTTCAAGGCCTCGTCCACATTTCTTGCAAACTCGAATAATTCGACCGCGCTATCACGGATGCACGAGATGACCCAGTGCCATTAAGTACCGTCGTCGTCGTCATCGTTGTTATTGGTCGTCAGCGTCGTCGTCATCGCTGTCATGTTTCTCGTGAATTATGACAATAGTTATAATGGAGTAGATTTTGTGTTCGCGTCTGTAGTAGTTTGACATCGGTAGTAGTTTGACATTAGGGTGCGATGTTGCTCTGTGTGTATTCTGAATTGAGGAATAAGCAAGTATTTATTTTTATTTTCTAGATTAGAAGCTTTCGTGACTGCAAGGATTCATACTCTGTTTATTTCGGTAAAGTCACGTAGGTAAAAATAAATCAAATAAAATGAATGAAAACAACTAATTATGATTTAATTTAGTTTTCATTCATTTGATTTGTGACTTTACCGAAAAAAACCAAAGAGTATTTTTATTTTATTTGGACACTGGCACAAAACGGCCTACTCCATTGAAATTACATTGCGGAAGCAGATGGCGTGTATCTGTACACTTAATACGCACGGCGGTAATAACCGGGGCGGCCTGGCGGGTTCCAACCACGAACCACAAACCTCTGCAACAAGCGGCAAACACGCTACCCGCTGCGCCACATCACCGCTCATCGTCATCATCATCGACAACCTTTTGTCCATTCTCCTCTACAACATCCTTCCCTCGGCCACCCGTGTTGTTGACTCCGCCTGTCTCTCTGCTCCAGTCCAGGCACATCACCTTCCCTCTATTCCACTGCCAACGACTGATGACCGCCTGCCCATAAAATAAACATGCGCACCGCTTTCGCGCGGTAACTCGAGATGCAAGCCGCAATTAGCCGCGATGCGTCCACGGCGCGTATTGTTTTGTGACTATCGGACCCGCTTCAGGTTTCTCCCCGTGTTTTCTTTTCGCCATTTGACTGCAGTCGATGCCGAAAACCCAGCAACGAAAAGTTCAAAGCTGCATTGTATGTACGTCGAACTTCTTTCGCACCGTACGTGGCCAACCGTGCTAATCGGAGATGCGGAAAAGAGCATTCTCTTTCCACCGCCTCGATTACAAATTGTAAAAATATATATTTCGAACGAATGCTCCGGCGGCTCCTGGTACGCAGGAAAACGGGGGTTCGATCCCAGACCCTCATATTTAGAGCCTGCGTGTTCTCTCTCTCTCCACGTGGTGGGCGCGTGGAGGTTTCTCCGGGTTGCTCAGATTTTTACTGCCCTCCACATTAAGAAACAACACGCGCTAAGATGAAATGGCTGCTGCTATAAATTCCAACATTTTATGATGATGATGATGATGATATGAGCCACTTCAATTGCATATCGTCACATGTGGGCAGGTCGCCTCTGAAAAAAAAATTGCTCATAGCTCAGTGGGCTTCACCTGGTGTATAACAAAAGTTTAGTTTTTAGTTTAACACGTAACAGGCTTCGCGACCAATATTACTCATAATAAAGGTTTTTGGGTTAGATCGCGTAAGTATTAATGTGTCGTAACCTCCACCACCCGACACAGCCAGTCGGTTTGTCACGTAAACAAAGCGCCAATTGGTTTACTACTTCAGCCCACCGTGTGTTGGAGAGTTTTTCGTTTAAAAGATCGTGAGCTCCCTCGGCTTGTCACCGAGCATCGAGACGCCTGCTGCTTTCTGTGACCCTGCAGCACGGCGCACGCCTGTGAGTCATCGCCTCGCCACACCCAAAGAGCGTGGTTGTGGCTTCGGTATGGTACGTATGTTGGACTTCTTTCGCTCCGTACATAACCAACCGTGCTCATCGGATGTGCGGGGGATTAGGTGTGGCCAACGCTACGCCCGGCCGCCTTTGCATTTTCATTGCCAATGGCCATTTGAACCTTGTACAGAGATCGTTTCAATAAATACGTGTGAATATAAAGCGAAGTAATTGCATTGTCCAGGAAAAGCCTCGCTAAGTTTCAAGTTTTTTCAGGCAGGTCTCGTTTGCAGATGTGTTTGACCGATTCCATCTCAGCGAGAAGCAAACTCAACACACTCACACAACAGCGACAACGATGCCTTAAAATTAAAACAATATTTTTAATCGGCGACGTTTTGGGCAATGGCCCTTTTACATGCACCACGAAGAAGGGCCATCACCAATTGTATATATATATTTTAAGGCCACGCTGTTGCTGACGATTGTGTGTGCAGTTTATTTCCTGTTAACTGTGCTAGTAATTATATATGTTTTGGGTTTACTCTCCAACAAACCGGTGTGCTGTACTAGTAACGAATTGGCATGTTCTGTTTACGTGACAAACCTTAAAAATTGGCTGTGCCTGGTGGTTGGGGGTTTAACGACACATTTAAATTTATGCGATCTAACCCCAAAAAAAACCTCATGGATAACTTCGCTTGTGCAGCACTTGCTAACGGAGCAGCAGCAGGAGCAGCAATATCGCCAAAGCGATGAATTGGAATGAGTGTTTGGTAACGTCGCCTCCCCCCCCCCCCCACGGAACTATGCTCTTCTGCACTACACAACGCCCTTGCTGATCCCCGTCCTGTAGCCTCTCCTCTCATCATTGTCGGCAGGCCTCCTCGACGACATCTGCCATTACAGCGCCTTCACCTTCCCTTAGTGAGTGCTGGTTATTCCTCGCCCCCCCCCATCTCCCCTCCTCATTAAAATCTTCACCCCCCCCCCCTCCGTCTACCCTCCTCATTACAATCTTCACACCCCCCCCCATTTCTCCCTTCCTCATTAAAATCATCACCCCCCCCCCTCCGTCTACCCTCATTAAAATCTTCACACCCCCCCCCCATTTCTCCCTTCCTCATTAAAATCTTCATCTCACCCCCCCCCCCCCCCCCCCTGCGCTTGGCCCCCACTTGATTGGGGCAGCAGTGGGGTAGGGGGGCCCTACTCCTCTTCGTGTCCGCCACTTCCGCGTGGCTCCACCGTGCTGGAATGGATGTTCGCGGATTTTCTGTTGTATCTTGTTGTTGGAATCTCCCGGTTGTGGTTTTGCCGGGCCCCGTCATGTTGTTGCAGGAACAACAACAACAAATAGCGCCTTCCTTCATGGTAGCCTTTCGCCCTGTAAGCACGGTGTTCATTAAAAATGCACCGGTGATTTGATTTGACGTGCAATTAAATAAGTTTCGGCTGCCTCGTAAAATAACAGAACAACAAAAAAGAATAATCGCACCACACATTCCTCTGTCCAGTTTTCAGCCTCTGCTACCCAGGATGGAATTTCTCACTGACACGAACCTGGCACATTCGTGCACTCCAATAACATTACCATCATCACCGCCTGTCAACTCCAGTCACAAGTGTTACTGAGGCAGTGGATGCTGTCTCCGGCTCTTTGCTGCCTCCCTGGAATTCTGGAGAGTCGCTGAGTTTTATGCCAAGTTCAGAACGGAAAACGTGGTGATGGAAACGCGCGCTTGCAAGTTCAACAGCCCCAGGTTTATCGTCATCCGGTCTGACACTCGTCTGTGTTGTGCAACAAAATTCCAAGAAATTCTGCTGGAATTTTCCACACGAACTATGTTGTAAGGGGGTGCCGCGGTGGCGAGATGTTAACTACCTAGCCTGATATACAGGAGGTCGTGGGATAGACCCTGACACCTGTATACTTGGAGTTTGCATGTTTCTCTCTCCGTGGTCGCGTGGATTTTTCTCCAGGTCCTCAGGTTTTCTCTCCGAATTTAGAATCAACATCACGCATTTAAGGGATTGGCTGCTATAAATTCCCACGTGATAAGCCACGTTTTACTGATTTTGTGTTTAGTTTGTTGTCCTTTCCCTGTACCTCCGATTAGCACATTGCAAAAGTTAAAAATGCATATGTACATGATGACGATAATTGTGATTTTTTGTTAAAAAGAGAAATATGTTGGCCACGTCACTGAGGTTCAAAGCTTGTGCCACGAGTGACTGTGTTCCAGAATCAGAACATTTATACTGGAGGAATCCGATTAACTATAAAACTATTTCATCATTAGACCTCCTTTGCCAGTACCAAAATATAATAGGGTTTTTACCCTTTTTTCTGGCAACAAAACTGAAACCTTTTACGAGGATTCATGTCTGCATTAACCACAATACCTGCAGTCAAAATGCGAACAAAAAACATACTATGATAATATATGCATTGCCCTTGAAACTAATTGGTCCACACCAGGGACGGCTTTCTTTTGAGCCTCGACCCAATTGGTGCTCAACCAGAGGACGCCAAAAGGCATACAGCTCAAAAGAAAGCCGTCCCTTGGTGTGGACCAATTAGTTTCAAGGGCAATGCATATATTATCATAGTATGTTTTTGTTCGCATTTTGACTGCAGGTATTGTGGTTAATGCAGACATGAATCCTCGTAAAAAGGGTTCAGTTTTGTTGCCAGAAAAAGGGGAAAAACCCTATTATTATAAAACTATTTTTCACAGATGTCCACCCTCCAGACGCTGCCCACTGACCTGTCGCTGCTCGTGAGTTTGTGGGGAGGCCGTTGACAATTGGAGAGCGGTGGGAGATGGGGATCGCGCCAGTCGTCCGCGCTCCAAGCTCTGGCGTCGCCGTTGACTCCGAGCCGGGTTTTGCCGAAGTCCCTTTCACCAGCGGTGGAGATCGCGTTCCGAACGAAGGGTCGCAGGAGTTCACCCGGGTTTCTGCGAAAGGCAAACACGACCAGCTTTGCACGAAGCGTCGCGATCACACAACCAAAACCAGGGGCCGCGGACACGCTCTGCAAGTGGCGGGTATCCTTTTGAGCGAATGGGTTGCCAGAGGATTCCCGCACCTCCGATTGAGTTCCCCATGCATAACAAGGGGTGAATGTACAGCGTAACCGGTTTTGGCAAGTGCTGCAAATTACTCTAAATTGAAAACTCGTTTCTCAATTTAAAACTAATTTGTTTATAACAATTTGTTTGTGTTTAGTTTGTTGTCCTTCCCCCGCATGTCTGATTATCACGGTTGGCTACATACGGTGCGAAATAAGCTCTACATACATTTGGCCAGATTACCGAAGGTGGGATTTGTGACGATTGAATTATTATTATTCTTGTATGGAGACAACAGCATGGACGGTTGAGTGGGAGGGAGTTCCAAACTATGGGGGCAGCAGAGGAGAATGAGCGACTTTCCATTGAGAAAAAGATTGTCGATTATCATGACAATGATAGAAACGATGATGACGATGATGATAATGAGAACGATAATGACAATGATGATGATAGTGAAGATCACGATGATGACAGTGAGCAATGATGATGAATTGATGGTGATGACGACAATTCATTCTAGATTTGAAGTTTTCGTAACTGCAAGGATCCATACTCTTGATTCTTTCGGTAAAGTCACGTAGGTAAAGAAAATAAAATAAAAAAATAAAAGAAAATACATAAATAAAAACTCGACGTTTCGATTGCAACACAAGCAATCATCATCAGGTGTGACAACCACAGCAAGAAATTCTATGACGACAATGATGATGACGTAGATGCTGATGATTGTGATGACGCCATTGATGATGATGACGATGATAACGAGTATTCATTCATTCAGGTTGCTGAGTCAACAACACTGATAAAGATTCGAACTCGTACAGTGAGGGAAAAAAGTATTTGATCCCCTGCTGATTTTGTACGTTTGCCCACTGACGAAGAAATGATCAGTCTATAATTTTAATGGTAGGTTTATTTGAACAGTGAGAGACAGAAGAGCAACAAAATCCGGAAAAACGCATGTCAAAAATGTTATAAATTGATTTGCATTTTAATGAGGGAAATAAGTATTTGACCCCTCAATCAGAATATTTCTGACTCCCAGGTGTCTTTTATACAGGTAACGAGCTGAGATTAGGAGCACACTCTTAAAGGGAGTACTCCTAATCTCAGCTTGTTACCTGTATAAAAGAGAACTGTCCACAAAAGCAATCAATCAATCAGATTCCAAACTCTCCACCATGGCCAAGACCAAAGAGCTCTCCAAGGATGTCAGGGGACAAGACTGTAGACCTACACAAGGCTGGAATGGGCAACAAAACCATTGCCAAGCAGTTTGGTGAGAAGGTGACAACAGTTGGTGCGATTATTCGTAAATGGAAGAAACACAAAAGAACTGTCAATCTCCCTCGGCGTGGGGCTCCATGCAAGTTCTCACCTCGTGGAGTTGCAATGATCATGAGAACGGTGAGGAATCAGCCCAGAACTACATGGGAGGATCTTGTCAATGATCTCAAGGCAGCTGGGACCATAGTCACCAAGAAAACAATTGGTACACACTACGCCGTGAAGGACTGAAATCCTGCAGTGCCCACAAGGTCCCCTGCTCAAGAAAGCACATATACATGTCCGTCTGAAGTTTGCCAATGAACATCTGAATGATTCAGAGGACAACTGGATGAAAGTGTTGTGGTCAGATGAGACCAAAATGGGGCTCTTTGGCATCAACTCAACTCGCCGTGTTTGGAGGAGGAATGCTGCCTATGACCCCAAGAAACACCATCCCCAACGTCAAACATGGAGGTGGAAACATTATGCTTTGGGGGTGTTTTTCTGCTAAGGGGACAGGACAACTTCACTGCATCAAAGGGACGATGGACGGGGCCATGTACCATCAAATCTTGGGTGAGAACCTCCTTCCCTCAGCCAGGGCATTGAAAATGGGTCGTGGATAGGTATTCCAGCATGACAATGACCCAAAACACACGGCCAAGGCATCAAAAGAGTGGCTCAAGAAGAAGCACATTAAGGTCCTGGAGTGGCCTAGCCCGTCTCCAGACCTTAATCCCATAAAAAATCTGTGGAGGGAGCTGAAGGTTCGAGTTGCCAAACGTCAGCCTCGAAACCTTAATGACTTGGAGAAGATCTGCAAAGAGGGAGTGGGACAAGATCCCTCCTGAGATGTGTGCAAACCTGGTGGCCAGCTACAAGAAACGTCTGACCTCTGTGATTGCCAACAAGGGTTTTGCCACCAAGTACTAAGTCATGTTTTGCAGAGGGGTCAAATACTTATTTCCCTCATTAAAATGCAAATCAATTTATAATATTTTTGACATGCGTTTTTCTGGAATTTTTGTTGTTATTCTGTCTCTTACTGTTCAAATAAACCTACCATCAAAATTATAGACTGATCATTTCTTTGTTAGTGGGCAAACGTACAAAATCAGCAGGGGATCAAATAATTTTTCCCTCACTGTATCTCACGATCATGAGCCTACACCCCCCATCCCTAGGCTGTGATTTGCATGAGCTGCTTCGCCCTTCACTCGATGTTCACCGACCGGCTTTCATTCATTTTTTACATCCAAAAAAAAATTCCAGGATGTGCAAGTGAGGTGTGTCGCGTCTGTTTATGCACCGGTGCCACGGAGACCTAACAAGGTCACACGGGGTCACCTACACCTTCGCACCGCAACAGGGCAGCGCTGCAGCACCCGTTCCACTTCAATTCCAGACAACAAATGATAATTATTACAGCACCGTGCTGTATATTGTTATAAAAGCAAAATACTTAACGACTGCGTTGTTATCAAAGTCACTGGTCCTTTTGACGTCACAACTAAATGTGTGCATCCATGGGACCCTTTTTGCCAGTATCAAAATAATGATAGGTTTTACCCTTCAGGCAATACAACATATGATGTTCAACACCAAATAGATACCTATTTCAAAGCATTAAGTCTGAATTAACCACACGTACATACATACATGCAAACACACGTGACCTGATAATATATGCATTGTCTTCGTACTCTGATTGGCCACACCAGAGACAGCCTTCTTTATGGCCTTGTCTCAACAGTGTCACACCAGAGAAACGCCAATAGACGAACAGTACAAAGGCAATGCAGGTATCAAAGTATTAATCGGTAGGGTTGAGCAGTTATATCTACGGGACCTTTTCCCAGTATTCGATGAACATCTGAAACAGGTACCTATTTGATGTTTGAACATCTTATAACGCATGTTTTTTTTATCGCCAGAAAGGGTAAAGCCTATTCTTCTTGCATTTTTTGTTTAAGAAAAAAATGAGTTATCTGTGTCACATTTGAAAGAGAATTTGGCCCGAGGGGCTAAAGGCGCAGCTCTGATATTGCTTTCTGCTCATGCCACTGCTGGCGGAAGGATGTCCAGCAAATGAGTGCTGCTTACTGCTGGCCGCTTGGCATTTTGGGCATTGGGCACGGCCGTGCTGTGCAACCGTGATTAAAAAAATAATAATCGTATATTTTGAATCTATTATTCACATCCCCCACCCCCAACAAAAGAGATTTATTTTGTAGGCATATATACTTACACACCCTACATACAATAAAGTGAGTAGTGTCTGCACACATGGGGCAGGGGGGGGGCAGAAGATGACGGGCGAGAAACCCTCCGCTGGAGCTAGAACAAGGCGGCCACGGGCTGCCGAAATTAGTAATTTAAAATTTAGAACCAGAGTTAAATAGGAAGGCAGCGCACAGCCGCACGGTGAACTGGCACCAACAATTGCACAAGCTTTGCGGCCCTCTATATATGACAGTGTTTTCAGCCATGTTATAAATGCGGAAAGAAAACCGGAGCATCTGGAGAAAACCTACACGTGTGAGGGGGCAACGCTCTATCCCATATACCTAACTAGTGGTGGTGGTGGCAGTGGTCGTGGTGGCGGCGGTGATGTTGGTGGTACCGGTGCTGGTGGTTATGCTGGTGTTGGTTGCGGTGGACGGTGGTGGTGGCGGCACTGGTGATGGTGGCGGTGCTGGTGGTGGTTGCGGCGGTGACGTTGGTGGTGCTGGTGGTGGTTGCGGCGGTGGTGGTAGGGGGGGGGGGGGGGGGGAGGGGGGGCACCTGAAGCGTTGTAGCAGAACGCATCGAGGCGCGCCGTGGAGATGGGGTCGAGCACGACGCCCGTGAGGTTGTGGGCGCACTGGGGCAGCGGGCGCACGCGCGGCACGGCGCTCACAACCGCCCTGCACCCAGCCGCTCCTGCAGCCCACACCGCGCATACAACAGAGCCGTAACAACAACAATAACCATAGCAATAAACCTCGTAACAATTGGATGCGTTGTTCCATCGAAACACTCAGAGGTGTGGAGCCAGAGCTCAACGTTTCTCTCATGCTGGCCTGAATGGGTGATAGCCTGAACAGGTGGGAACCTGAACAGGTCAGAGCCTGGACAGGTGAGAGACTGAACCAGATGAGAGCCTGGACCAGGTGAAAAAACTGAACAGGTGAGGGCCTGAACCAGGTGAGGGCCTGAACTAGGTGAGGGCCTGAACCAGGTGAGGGCCTGAAGGTGGATGATGGTGCCTGGACACTGCTGCTGCTGTTGCTGCGTGTGTGTGTGCAGCAGTGTGTGGGGAGCGGTAGTGTAGCTTCGACCCGGGTTCGATTCCCGCTCACGGCCAACACCAGTGACGATTATCTGAACCGGTCCTGGGCCTCCTCTAGTACCTGGTGTGGTGTGTAAACATTGCCACTGGGGAGACAACGGCGGTCGGGCGTGGTGCTGGCCACCCACCCCCTCGTGTACCGTTCCGGCCTTCATAGGTGATCGCTAGCAGCACTTGCCCCTACAGTCTGTTAAGGCTATACGGGGGATATTTGTATTTTTTGTGTGCAGCAGTGTGTGTGAGAGAGAGAGAGTTCCAGACGGCTACTGCCGGTGGTGGCAGCTACAGCGAAACGCCGCTCAGCCAGGATGGAAGGTGCTGGCGGTGGATGCGTTTATCAGCAGATCGTGCGATGATGAACTCCATAGGGTGTAGCGGTTTACCGCGAGCAGGGTGGAGTGAGAAGGGTGGAGAGCTATGGCCGGGAGAATGTTGAGAGACAGAGAGGTGTCAAAGGATAGCAATCTTGCGCTCGATCCTTGACTTAATGAGCAAGCCAGTGCAAAGTCTTTGTAGCGTAGGCATGGACGCCATATCATCACACATAATGTTTTTACAAAGTAAAATAATAAGAATGATAAGTGATAATTATGTGTTGATAATAATTGCACTGCTTTCAGTCGGGGTGTCGCAGAGCAGCGTACACAAAGACAAAGATCCCCCACCCCCCAATATATTGCTATAAAACAAATTCCTATGCTTTATAAATAAAAACAACACTTTGTTCAACCTTGGCCACAATATCTGGACTTGTCTTCATATCAATCAATGCATAGATTTCTGTTTATATGATTGTGGTTATGGTTGTACTTTATGAATCCCTAATCTCTGCCATTACATGTACAATGAAACGAGAAAAGGTAAATAAGAAAAACAGAGCAATGTAATACAATACACTATTAGACATTATTGTAAAAAATAAATAAAAAGTCCATCGCATGTGTTTGTGATTTTTTATTATTTTAGGCAAGAAATTAGTTTTCAAATTTAGATATTTTTTCTGGGTTGGGACCCCCAGGCACCCTGGAAGAATTGGTCCCCCACAATGTTGACTCCATGGCTACGGCCTTGAGTCTTAACAAACTGCTGGGGCAAGTGCTGTTAGCGAGCACCTACCTATGAAGGGCGGCACGGCACACGAGGGAATGCGTGGCCAAACACCACGCCCAGTCGCCTTTGTCTCCCTCGTGGCGATGTTTACTACACATCGCACCAGGTACTCGTTTGAGGCTGAGTCGACCCTAGGGACCAGCTCAGATAATCGTCACTGGTGTTGACCGTGGGCGGGAAATCGAACTCGTGTCGCCAGGTTCGAAGCGTGGCGCACTAACCGCTACACAACGCACGTACACACACACACAACAACCGCCATTAGCCACTAAGTGCGTTGACGTCACCACGACGCTTGTGCCAGGCTATGTGCACCTTGAGGCCACGTGAAGTGTCGAACGCCCGCTGGCAGGAGGTCACGGGGCAGACCCAGGTGCCACGGGTTGACTGACTAAGACGACTTGCACACACGCACGTACGCACGCTCACACAACAAAGACAAAGATCCCCCGTATAGCCTTAACAGACTGTAGGGGCAAGTGCTGTTGGCGAGCACCTATGAAGGCCACACACACACAGGCACGCGCAAGGTCGAGCCACGGACCTGCACACCTGAAATCCGTGCGCGTTCGCCACGCGCAGCTGCTCCAGGGTGGCGAGTTCGGCGCCCGCAGCGCGACACAGCGCCCACGCGTCCTCGAGCGAGAGGCGGTAGCGTCCGCGCGGGGACTCCGCGTGCGCCACTCCCATCACGGCGCACGGCGTGAGCGCTGTTGGCGTAGGGTGGACACACACACACACAGAGACAAAGATCCCACCCCCTCCAGTGTAGCCTCGACAGGCTTGTCGGGGCAAGTGCTGTTTGGCAGCAGCAGCAGCAGCTGCGAAGGCAGGCACGGTGGCACGCGAGGGCTGGCTGGGGTTGTCGACACGGCGCCCAGTCGCCTTTGTCTTCCCCCAGCAAGTTTCAAACAGACAAATTTTCCTTCCATAAAAGAGGGGTTTTTTTTGGGTTAGATCGCGTAAATATATAGATGTGTCGTTAAACCCGCCACCACCGGACACAGCAAACTAGTAAGGGTTGTCACGTAAACAGAACGTCGCCAATTCGTCACTAGTACAGCACTAGTGTGCAGTGTAGTGTATAGTAGTCTATAGTATAGTGTATAGTGTAGTGTATAGTATACTAATACAGCACACCGGTGTGTTGGAGAGCCAAGCCACAACATTTACGTATCTGCCTCTTTACGTACATTAATCATTATTATTATTTTACACGTCCCATCAGTCGCACGGCCTGCCTTCCGCGAGTGCATCATTTCAGTGGGCAGTGGTTCAACAAGTAGCAAGAGACCGTAGACCTGAGTCTCGACATTCAGCCTCGTCGGCAGAGTCGCGTGCCCTGCCTTGGAGGGATATGGCAAGGAGGCGTGCAGTCTGCGTATTTTTGGCGCTGCTTACATTCTCCACAATGGTGCCTACAAATCGCTTATTTTGACTTCGAATGAACGACTCAAGAGAACGGGCAGGAAAGGGACTGGCCCCATCGCATCCGCACGTTTCCTTTAGGCGGGAAATCTGTCGGAGCAACAGTTTGGGACTGTGCACACCGTACGTGCTGTTGTTTCTGGTTGAAGGCAACACATTATTTGTTGCCCTCGATATGTCAAGGCATGTCAGGGGGCAAGAGGCCAGGCTAGGATGTAATGCTGGGGCTTGAGAACACCGATTTCTCTCTCCAGGTTTCCCTCGCTCTGCGCGGGTTTCGGTTTGTGCGATTTCGCGTTGTCTATGCGGCAAACTTGTTTCCACCCAAACTTCGCTGTGTTATGCGGTTTGAATTCAATCAACATGCGGCTATGCGGTCGGACGTGGGACGACATTGTGTGTGCTATGTGTACTGTGTGTGTGTACACTATGTACTGTGTGTACTATATGTACTACGTGTGAACTGCGTGTGTACTATGTATGTACTGTGTGTACTATGTATGTACTGTGTGTGTACTATGCGTACTGTGTGTGAACTGTGTGCGTGTACTTTGTATGTCACCGGGGACTTGACTTGTATGTAGTGTGTGTGCATTATGTGTACTGTATGTGTGTGTACTGTGTGGGTACTGTGTATCTACTGGGTGTATACTATGTGTACTGTGTGTGTACCATGTGTACTATGCGTGTGTACTATGTATGTACTGTGTGTGTACTATATGTACTACGTGTGAACTGTGTGTGTACTATGTATGTACTGTGTGTGTACTATATGTACTACGTGTGAACTGCGTGTGTGTACTATGTATGTACTGTGTGTGTACTATGCGTACTGTGTGTGAACTGTGTGCGTGTACTTTGTATGCCACCGGGGACTTGACTTGTATGTAGTGTGTGTGTGCATTATGTGTACTGTATGTGTGTGTACTATGTGTACTGTGTGGGTACTGTGTATCTACTGGGTGTATACTATGTGTACTGTGTGTGTATTGTGTGTGTACCATGTGTACTATGCGTGTGTACTGTGTATGTACTGAGTGCTACTCGGCAGACAGACGTCTTCTCGTGCTGTTTCGCTTGCACGCCAATTTTCTGGAACGCATCTACTACTTACTACTACCGCATACATCGAGGGTAAAAAAACCTGTCCTCAGAAACCCAATTTACTTCAAACGGTGACCAAGATTGCCATCACTGATGTACAAAAAAAAATGAGGACATATCACGATAAGAAGATATATCTGACAGTGTTGGAAGATACGAGAGCTAAATATAAAATTATTGTCTTGATTGGCTTGTTGTTGTTATGCAACAGACATAAACGGAGACTTTGAACGCCCCTTTGGAAGAGTGGCGAATTTTCCGAGGACAACTGCAGTCTTCACGACGAGAGGACGGATCGTGAGAAAGCCAGGAGGCAACGTGGTGATCAAGTATGGACATACAACACCCAAGATTGGTACGGCATGGGGAAGGAAGGCCTTCGTCCAACAAATAATTTGATGATGATGTTGCTGCTGCTGATGCGTTGCCAGTGGTACACAAGCAGAGCTAACCAAAACCACTCAGCACACTCGTTAACAGCACTGTGTAGTCGTAAAAGAAAACAAATATATAATAGACGACGTTTCAGGCAATGGCCCGTCTTTCTAGCACATTAACAAAGAGGCTGGAGAGACAGAGTGGACGAGTTAGCGACTGCACTTGATTACACCACGGGCTTCTGATGAGAATTACATTTTTTATGATGACCATATTGGAAATTGGCGTATGAGTAGTTACACTGATCGTTACACTAACAGTTACACTAATATTCTTAGTTCTTTCGGTAAAGTCACGTAGAAGGGAAACAATAAAATAATATAAAACAATAAAATTCTCACGACGTTTCGACTGCAACACAAGCAATCATCATCAGGTGTGAAAAACAAATTCTTGCTGTGGGTTTCACACCTGATGATGATTGCTTGTGTCGCAGTCGAAACGTCGTGAGAATTTTATTGTTTTATATTTTTATTATATTA